GGGCAATAAATTTGTCATTCAGTTCATATAGATGGGGCCCCATGCTCAAGGGCAAAAGTTGTCTCAAAGAAAAGTTACATGCAAGACATTGTATTTCCGGTCATGTGCATGAGTCTTTTCAATTTTTGTCCGGTCGAAACAGCGCAAAAGTGAACTGCGCAGTATGCATGGATGGCAGATATTGTAGGAAACCGTAGAAAACTGAGATATCAGGTGCATGCAATGCGTGCCAAAGTTATCCAACAATGTTACTCAATCTGCAAGGCTCTATGCCACTGCCTTTGATTGCACTAGCTTAGCTGCGCTGCGCCACCTATGCCCACCTCTAGCAGTATCTTTATATGCTCTAGAGTTACAAGAGGCAATAGCTGCTGGTTATGCGCTACAATAAGTTGTCTTTTATCCATCTGTACCCGACGTTCTGCGTGCTTAATAGCCCTGAGTGTACGAGACTGTCAATGTGTCAACCGGGTCGCCTATGACCCTGCGTGAGTTGCTATGCCAGTAAACCTTACAGTACCATAACTCTTGGTTCCACCTCGTCGATTTCAGCATGGCAGGGACCACAAAGGCCAACATATACAGTGCCGGCAGCAACGACCAGGCTAACTAATGTCCGCCCTATGATCGCCGAGAAGCGAGTGACTAAGAAATGACTGACCCATTTGAACATAGCAACGCCGGCTCTCCAAAGTGCTTCGGTGTCAATTCCGGTAGACGGGACCAAGGCCAAAGAGGACGAAACGCCACAGCGAAAGCATCAAACCCAATGCCAGCAGCCCAAAGAACCCCCCCGCAGCCAGCATGGCCGATTGAAGATACCACGGCTGGCGCTTCACGAATTGCTTCCACTTCTCCTCAAGCGCATCATAGGTGCCGATGGTGGCTTGCCTCGCAGAGACGTGGGAAGTGAGAAGACCCGCTGAAGTGCGCGCCTCTTCAGCGACAATTTTGGCCTGGCCCTTGACCAGATTCTGAACGATCTTGAGCCCTTCATCCCCCCCCAAGGCATCAAAGACCTGCCTGATTACCGCCTGGGTAGCAGCGCCGGCGTACTCGTGAGTTCGCTCATGCTTAATTTGATCAGGGGGGGCGAGGTGGAGCTTCTGTGCGACTGACTTGCGAACCTTCCGAGGGGAGTGCTCCTCTCGCGAGAACTGCTCATAGTCCTCCATAGCGCCTGACTGGTTGTGGAGGAGGCAAGGGAAAAGCAACCACTTCCCTGCAAAGAAGGATACATGGTCAGCAGAGCCTCAAAGTATGGATTGAAGTCAGCAGTTCTTTGAAGAAAGCTGATACAAAGTAACTTTGAGAGGCCCTGTAAAGGAAGGCTTTCTCTTCAAATTAGGACACACAGATAAGTCCTTGAACAAAATCATGTAACTAAAGATATGGCAGGTAAGAGGGTTTATAGGTTGTGCTTGCATATGTGGCCTAAATTTTCAATGACTCTATATCCTAGCACTTGGTGTGCAACTCTCCTTGTGACAAAGGTAGTAAGCACCTCACTCAAAGTACTGCCTTGGGTCAGTTTTTGAAGACTCCAGGGTAGATCCTGAAGCAGCAATCTGACAGCTAAAGTTTGGTACTTTTAACCCCTCTCTGAATCTTGAGAAAAATAACATCTAACAACGAATGGGGCATTCGATGAAAATGAGTTCCTCAATCCTGATGAACTCCCTTAACCAAAAATTGCAGTTAGGTTTTCAAAAGCTGCAGTGACATACGAAGCCGGCACCTCTGTGTCACCCAATTCCAAAAACCTCCACATATCGCAAGACGCTGAATGATCTGCACGACAGCCATAGATGCATTCTGATGACTGGTCACTTGCATGCAAGCCTGCTGGAAGGATTTACAGCAACCATGTTCAATGGTGAAGACTGCTGCTCTTACTGCAAGCTGCGCGTCAACTTTAGAAATCACCGTCTCTCTGCAGCTTGCAGCATCTCCCGCCGCCCTCCTCCGCCCTACAGTGTTGTGTGAGCCATGGATTCGAGCCTTCTGCTCGCGCCCTGCCACTGCTTTTGCGGCTTTCTGTTCAAGGCAAATGCATGGTGGAAACTGGAGCGAGAGTCACCTACTTATTAGGGTAGACTTACATTGGCACGGTTACTGTTGAAACTTAACTGCAACCGGACCGCACATTGGCACCGTTACTTTTACTTACGGTTACTTCATCGATCAACTGGGTCGATTCTTCGGAACCCCCCGCGATTATCTACCAACGGCACCGTTGGCCCGCCGAGACGGGTTGGGGCCAACGGCGCACCGTTACTTCATCCGGGCTTGCCGCGTGGGGGGAACGAATGGATCGGACGGCTCGGAAGCCTGGTCAGTACACTCTCAGTACCCAAGATCTACATGGTACAGTACCGTCTGATCCGAAATGTGCAGATTTGCTCCTTTCAAGGGGCTACGTTCGGGTGACCGGCCGAGTGCTTTCGCGCCAAACTCGAAGTAACCGTGCCGTCGGAAAAAGTTGCTACAAACCCATGTAACCGTGCCAATGTAATTCTACTCTTAGCTACTGTCGAGCTGGAGCAGCTCAGCTGCTGCAAAGTGACGACCTAAGCATCTGGCATCTGCTCAACTAGGTGTGAACACGGATTGCCGGCGTGACTGCCTCGTGTTCGCAGACTGCAAAGCCGACTAAGAATTTTGAAACGGCCCCGTCACGGTGTCGCAGATGCAAAGAAGCGGGTTTTTACACCAGTTGTGATGTTGGCAAAGTTCCTTGCCAGATCATCGCTCTGCTTGAACGGCTCAGTCACCGTAGCTAGTGATCTGGCAAAAACTTGAAGCTGAGTCTGGTGATTGCCTGCAGTGGAGCGGTTTGGGGAGGCGCTGCGGCTATCAAGAGGAGGTAGACCCATGGAGTCTTTCAGGTGTTTTTGACAACGAGAGCCTCTGGCCGCATTAACCTTTTGGACCTCTGCAGCGCTTCGTTCCTTGGTCGTGCCGCACCTGACAACTTACCACCACCATTTTTGGAAAGTTGTGTATAAGCAAAGGAAGGCCGTCGTTCTACAATCTCTAGGAGAGTAGGTACCCACCAAGTCACTAACCAGCAGAGGAGTTATAGGCACAGCAAAACATTGACGCCGCCTGTTGACTTGGTAAGCTAGTGGCAAGGAAGAAAAGTTGTGAGCTTGGCCCTTAAAAGTGCACTTGTAATGCCGGGCCTGTCGGCAGCTGAGCTGAGCTTCTTGGAAGGTGGGATCGCCCAGGACCTGCGCAATGATGGGAGGGGGCGGGAGGATTTTCGTAGCTTCTCGATCCAACTTGATGTTATCTCTCAGGTGAGCTTGCACATACGTACAAAATTTCTGGTCCAGGATCTCAACCATCCCGAAGAAACCGCTCATCATTCTTGCAGTGATTTATCTCATTTGGTCTGTAATACTTTTGATACATGGAGGGTGAAGCTGAGGAAAAGCGGACAGATTTTCCTCCTTTGCTGCAAAAGCGAAGTGTGCTGTCAAAAGGCGTAAGCTCGCATTAGGGTCAATCATCAGTGCTGTTGCCAACCAAGGATGATGAACAGTACACCAGGAGACGACCTACATTGTGCTTAGACAAGTCCTTGCCCAACCAGCAACCTTCTCCTGCAAATAGTGGCAAGAAAGTTCTAGAATGAAATCAGAGGTTCTCAGAACCACACCGCCCTTCCTATTGCTCCCTTCTGCAGCCAGCAGCGACAGCCCTTTCCTTCCGCAGACTACTAAAAGCAAAGCTCCCTATCATGTGCTTTCGAATCAGTCTTTTACAAACTCAATGCCACTTGAATTATGCTCGACCTCTAAAAGTATGGTCTAAAGATGTTCCACTTGCAGTAACACCTGTGTATACTCTGTCCAGGCGAGTGGATCTGCGCGGGTGCGCCTAGGGGCTACTGACATCCTTGCAAGCATCAAGGTGCGGCCTTCTAAGTACTTCTCAGCAAATGGTTGATTGCCCTCAAGTTATTTCCAAGGATTGCTGTCCTTTTGCATGCTACCATTGATCACAGAAGCGTTGGGGGTGACTTACTCTGATATGGTTTGTCCCATCACAGGCTTCAATTGTATACGCATTTGCAGAATATACTGAACATAGAGAGTTGAATTGGGGGGACACACATTGTGCCTCCAATTTGAGCAAACCTTTGTCTGCAGGCAGAGCTAGGCAGCCCGCCGGCAGAGTTCCCCCACCTGGGGCGGTTGGAGCTTGCAGTGGAGATCTCCCCTACAGCGGGGCCTGAGTTCGAAGTGAGTTTGCATAAAAGGACCAGTATTAGGTTCTTTGCTGCTGCGCTCCTGTCAATATCTACCAGTTATGAAACATTCTAGTGCAGGTGGAATGTGATATCTCCTGGGAGCCGGAACCATCAAATATGACGAAGAACGACATTCTGGGTTCCTGCGCAAGTGAAGAATTAAACGCAAAATATCTAACAACCCATTGAGGGGTCAGTGTGGAACATGCGTGCTGCCTAACGTCGACAATTTCCTGATTGTCCTCCCAAACCTTCGTTTCGAAATGCGTTACAGACAGTCGCAGATCGTGTGAATGCGGCCTTGTGATGACGAATGTTGCGCTACTTGTGGCAGGGTCGCGGAGGGGAGGAGCTGTCTGCAGAGCTGGGCAAGGCCCTGGAGCGAAGCTTTGCAGGGGGGGCAAACGGCACAGGTGGAGATCGTACTGGTCGCTGCGTGCCCGCAAGCCCTGCTTACGGTTTAACTTTTTGTTGGTTGGTCAATCTTTGAATTAACAGATTTCCAGGAGCTCCTGGCACGAGTCAGGACATGTACATGCTGTCAAACCATTGCAGTGTCAGGGAAGGGAAGGTTGGAGGAGTGAGGTCGTGCTAAACATGTGCGGTCGATCTCTCCCTCGTTCTTTGTCAAGTGGGTTCTGGATATCGAGCTGTGTGTAGTCCTGACAGAAACGGAAGGAAGGAGAATAGGGAGTCCCGGCGGACTCCCTAGGAACACCGTTCCTTTATAACCCCTTCAATCGACGGTGAAAATGAGGGAGTCCGATCAACCAAGACCGTCGATCCCAGCAGTAATAGATAGGCGGGATGTCTCACGTCCGCTCGGGAGTCCACGTTCTCCCCCCTTCCTTTCTGGCAATCTGTGACAGAATCGAGCATCTTATCAACCGCACCCATGCTCGGTAATACATGAAATCTTTTCAATGTCGACGTAGCCGGTACTCGGACCTCACTCGAGGGCCGACGCCCTCGCTTGTGGGTTGGTGACGTCAGCTTCGATGGTGTGACGTCAGCAGTCGCCATTGCTTCCCTTGCAGGGGCCGCGGTGGACCTGGCTGCGCTGTCAGTGGTGGAGGGCAAGACATGCTGGGTGCTGTACGCCGACGTGCTCGTACTAAATGCGGATGGCAACATCCTGGACGCATCTGCGATCGGGATCAAGGTAGGCACGTAGAGATTTTCTTTTAGCGATCAGAGGGCACGCTCAAGGCGGGATCGCTTCCAGAACGGTCATGTGTGAACATATTTTCTTCAGTCGCTCGAGATCCGTTGACGCACGTGCGTGCGGCACTATCGACCGTCCGACGCACTAGCTCGTTTGGTGAGAACCTGCAGAGCTGGACTGAGGTGCTTCCGCAGGACACGAGAGTAGAGTGCGGTGCAAACTCGATCGCGTCAACCTGAAGCAGATTTCAAGCGCGCTTGCCCTCGTTCACGGCCCATGTTGACAGTCACAGACTGCAATGCGGCCCCCTTCTCCATCGGCTCAAAGATGGCCCGGAAAGGAAACTTGTTTATATTCAAGGGAGGGACTGGCAGGGCAACGAAGCTGAAGCTTTCGTGTTTTGTAACATGCATGTCGACTCACATAAACGACAAAGAAAGCCTGTCGTAAAGTATTGAGCACCCTTCGCCGTGTGTCTCCTAAAGAGAGGGGGAGTGTTTCCAACTCGAATCCTATTTCGAGAACCACAGTGAAAACACGGTCCATTAAGTAATGACATCTTCAATTGTCATGCTCTTGCAGGCGGCGCTGAGCAACACACGCATTCCAAAAGTGGAGGTCCTCGCAGGGGAAGGGGACGAGGAGGGCGAGCTTGAGCTGAACGACGACCCCGACGAGTGCGCGCGCGTCAGCACCGCCGCAGTCCCCCTCATCGTCACGCTGACCAAGGTGGGTTAGCCCTTAACCTGCAAAGCTTGCCGATCTTGCGAAAATGGTAATAATTTACGTGTGATGGAAGGTTCCTCAGCGCAGGCGAAGTCTGCACAAGATGAAAGGTGGGTCAACTCTGACTCGATTGGGTTTGCCAGAGCTGAGAAATGTTGCGAGACAAATGCCGAGTGGTTTGTCAGCAGCGCCGCAATTCCCCTTTTCGTCGCAGTGACCAAGTTTACTGGCTCTAACCCCGCTGGGTCTGACAACTTTACACGAGTTGGGAGTCCACGTGCTCGACTGTCCGATCGACACGAGCCACGTCATCGCAATTGCCAAGCTGAGTCATCCCGTACCGGTCATGATGCAAGGTGCCGGTCAGCTGTGGATGCAGATTGCTGATCTGGTCGACTCTCAACCTGGTTCTACCGGTCTAGGCACTGAAGCTGTGTGGGGAGCTCTCCCTATTCTGCTGTCTCAGTTTCAAACTTATGACCAACGTGCTGACCGTTTGTCTGAGATGAGGTGTACGCTCATCCTCTGATTTGTACGCTCGTCAGGTGCCAGGTTTCATCCCTGTTACCCAGGGGGTGAGTCTGGATGTGGGATTCAGAAAATGATTTGACAGAAACTTTTCATTGATCCACGTCACGCAACAGGGTTGTAAGCAATCTAGCTGGACGTCAGAATTTTGAAAGCAACGTGTGGTACCTGACCAACGTGATGAGTGTCAATTATTTGGCTGGTGTCCGCCCGGTGTTTGAGATCGACAGTTGTTCGCGTCAGTCTCAGAATCTTAAGAGAAATTTGGGATCTGCCCTCCAAGCAACAAAATCTCCCTAAGTAGGACGGTGTATCATCTGGTATCTGAGCTACTCAGCTGGTTTACTTCGTAAAAGGTCAATATTGCTGAGTCATCTCCGAGGGTCTCCTTCCATCGGGCCAGAATTGTTGGCAGGAATACTGGTCCGACTTCTCCTAGCTGGTTCTGATTCACTCTGTTTGGATCACTTCCCGGCACTCTGATGTATCCAATTCTCCGGGACAATTAATTGAGAATGCATTTGTCACTTGTCTAGATTCGCTGTCCCGTGCTCGAATGGACGTGACACGTGCTTTCCCAAATAAGCGGACAGCACAGCACTCGGAGCTGGCCCACTTCAGTGCAGTCCCAAAGGCTCTGCATGCAGATTCTAGGGGCCTCGAAGTAGATTCAACCGCATGAGCAGTCACATCACCTCGTCATTTCCATCCAAGTCACCGTTGAAAAAGTGTGTGGACGAGCTTTGTCCACGATAGAACGGCCACGTAGGAAGATCTTCCACTTTCTCTGAGGATCCGGCCTCGCTTCGGCTGCCGTACACGATTCCAGTCACGGTCTAGTTCTACGCACCTGGACCTTCACGCCAGTCGTCCTCCATCGTCCCGACCGGTTAAGCAAACGGTCACTTTGACCCGCGCAGCCCGTTCCGCTGTCGACCGTTCTCAAAGACGCGGAAACAAACGCCTCTATTGAACAGAGTTTGTTGAGGGCTTGGTTACTACTGGCTACTTGTTGCTCTCGTTTTATGGTTGCCGTCAGTGCCCTCGTGATTTTTTCCGGATTACCCGTTCCGTTCTCATTGCGAGATCATACGGACGATCTGGTCATTACTTTCCTGCTGTCCGTTGTGTTTCTACGTATAGTTGTCCTCTTTGCTTTCTTCGTGTATTGTCGCAATTGTATGGAAGGCGGAGTTTTAGAAATTGGCTCGAAGGCTCTCCGACCCGTTGCAAGCAGTCAAACCATCGGCCTTGCAATGCTCGAAGTATCTTGAATGAACTCTGCCGCAGAAACCATCAACCAGACCTCTTCCAGGTTTCTATCTTTCGCTTTACATGAATTCGCGTCGCTGCACAGACATCCCTTCCGCAGTTCGCCACCTAATTGGTTTTAAGTATCTGCCGTTGTCCATCATGCGGAAGTTCTCATCCGGGCGATCAAAGAGCGCCGTATGAACCACGGATGCATCAGTAATGCTTACACAACGAGTCCCGTTTACTGGTGTTATGGTGGCGTGGGCGGACGCATCCCCACGCGGGACTCTTCCATATGAGTCTGCATGGCTAAGCCGTTGCCCCGCAGGTCCACGTGCATCCGCATTGCGGCGACCGACCATTCCATCCTGATCTCTGACTCGTCGCCAAATTCACATAGGCAACCACGCGCGCTGACTTTTCTCCCTGCCGCACTTCCTTCCAGGTTGGCCGGCACTATATAGCGGACGCCACAGGGGACGAGGAGGCGCAGATGAGCTCCGCCCTTTCGGTCGCCGTAAACGAGAAGGGGCAGCTGTGCGGAGTTACCAAGAGGGGGAGTGCCGGGATCGACCCGAGCGTAATCTCGGACATGTTGTCCGTTGCGAGACGGATAGGGAAGCGGCTGCTAGCTAAAGTCGATGCCGAAATAAGTTTAGCAGAGTCCAGACTGGAATCAGAGACTTGATTTTGTATGGCAGGGCGGGCCCTATGCGTTCAAAGTCATGCATCGTCGAAGCTGGTCCATGGCCATACTAAGCTCCGCTGCAGCGTAGAATTGCAAACTTAGCGTTCCACGTCGTCCTCCCTTTCAACCGTCTCCTCAATAGCCACCATATGGGCCGAAAGTACAGGCCTCTGCATGTGCACATGACGGTACACTTTAAGGAATGTTCGAGTCGACCTGTCGGACGTGGTATACCAATGCGCGTAAATTGAATTTTTAAGCTAGTCAGTAAAGGCGAGTACGCACATGATTCCATACATAGTTAGTTACCTATGACCGTCAGTTCCTTGAGTCATTCACACATGCAGAATCGGTCGGAAATTATAGTAGGGCAGGCTGGGCAACATCTGACAAATCGCACATATGCGCACTTATATATACGCCAAGTGCATGTATACTCGAACAAGGCTTGAACATGATTGAATGCCCATATATTGCAAAGAGGTCCGCGCATTAACTCAAAATGCAAGCAACTCTCAAACTCACCTATACATATATACCGTAAACTAGCTGGTTTGCAATGTTCTGTAACGAGTGCGGACGCTGGGTGACAAGTCAGGGTATGAATCGTCCGGACAAGAATTTTGGAGGCTTCAAGCCATATACGTCAGATATCGTGATAGCTAGAGTCAACTGACAAATCCTCGAGCTCAACTGGATCAGCTTTATAATGAGATCAAGTCGCATTATTCTAATATACGTTAGTAAGTCTTATTGACGGTTCCTCATTGTTCTCTAAAAACGCACAGCAGTACAACTTTTGGGTGCAGCCTGATCATTCCTGTGTCTGCCCTGGACTTTATTTTTGCTAGGACCAATTACCTGCATACTTCGTGAAACTGATTACATAATCTGCCGACTTATTCATACCGACTAGCGTTTCAGGCCCTTCTTATTCCCCTGGCTCAGGCTTAGACGTAATCGCAAGCAATAGGTACACAGTACAGCACAGCGCAACACTCCGCTAATAAACCCACTCTTCGGGAAGCCCTAAGTTGTCGGTGCCGCATCTGGATTGTCCAGTTTGAACCCACCCCTGCTGAGGCAGAGACTCTCCGTGTGCCCCGTAGGCAGCCCGCTGCAAGAAGATCTGGCGGTCCACTGCTCGCTGATTGGCTTTTGACGGCCGTCGGGCTCCGCTAACCGGTTTTGACACAGGTCCAGTCGGCCCCCGAGCAGGAGGGGCGGCCTGGGCTCTACATCTCTGGTTAAAGTTGACCACCGGAATCTTCATCAGCTCACTACAGTCCACGACGGCAACCTTGGGGGGTGAGGTCGCGGGTTTGTGAGGGGGTTGCTTTGATTGACTACAGAGCTGACCGTTGAAGTCCCGTCGGTTGGGGCCTAGAGTCGACTTGGAAAGAGGGGGCTGGAATGGCCGGGGAGTGGCCTGGAGAGTCGAGCCTGCAGAACAATGAACCGGGCTTGTAAACCAGTGGCCGCGGTAGGCAACCAGAACAGTGCCAGCGGACACCGTTGAAATAGTGAGGACCTTCGCGAACGTCCCGCAAAGAAATGGCAAGTTTGACCCCTTCTTTCAGCCCTAAACATTGAGGAGCACCTGATGCAATCTCATCATCAAATGTCCAAGCCGGACCACGAGGGTGTCCTTGCCACCTTGACTTCATTCGATAAAAGCAGGTACTTCTTTCAGAGACTCGATTCACAGAACAGTTGAAGTGTGCATATTCAATTCAAGGTACTCAAACTGCACAGCTCTGGATAAGACTCTAACAACGTGAGGCTACTTAAATCGGGCTTGGTCCCGAGTCCTCACCAGCTTTGCTCTTTCCATGGGAGGGCATCGACGAGACCACTGCCATGGGAAGGAACACGCCGGTGCCGTTCTCCTTCTGAGAAGGGGTAGGGACGGGCTTGGGCGTGCTGGGGGGGGTCGCAGCGGCTCCACAGATTACCCCCCTGCGGCTGGCGCGGGACTCAATGGCTAGCCTCTCGTTTGGCTGCTGGCTCGCTAACGCGCTAATGGCACGACGCTCTGCCTGCTTACGCGCCTGGAAGAGGCAATATGCAAATAGTGTCAGCTATGGGTCCAGTAGCATGATTCGAGTTTCTGCTTCTGAGAGGGGACTTTCAGGCGGCAGAGCGATCAAGATCGCAAGTGGGGGCTGTGGCTGAAGGGATTGAAAGACTGAAAACATATAAGAGAATGGTCCAATGGATGCACAAGCAAGAGGGACTCAGGTTTGGATCTTTGTCTCTTACAAAAAGATTGAAAGGAAGAAACATGTTCTGGAAACGCTGGTAAAAGTTGACCGTCTCCTTGAAATGAAGGACAACTAGATCAAGCAGACGTCCCATGCTTTCATCTCACACAGAAACCAAGTGACGACACCCCCTGCTAAGCTCACACCATCACCAATCCGGATTCATCCACTGCAGACTACTCTAGATGACACGTGTCACCCTTGTCATGACAGCTCGATAGACTCAAATCCTTGAAACCGTCCACACGACCAAACAACAGGAGAATGTTTCAAAGTGAGTAAAGTGTCGCGTTTCGCAGATGCTATTTCTGACCAGCCCAAATCAGTTCCAGAATCAACCTTACCTGGTCATGGTAATTCCTGCTCTGTTCTCTCAGGCCCCGGTTCCCCTTCTCTGGCTGACCGCAGGACCGCCCCCGGTTTTGAGTCTCAGACTGACGCCCTTGTCGCCCCTTCTGACACTCAGCGAGTGCTTTCTTCAGAGTGTGCAGTTGCTGTGCAGAAAGACTTTCTAGTTGCTGCTGAAGGCTGAACACCTCCTGGTGCGAGACGGGCGCCCTCTGGAAGGGAGTCCTCCGATTGGACATGAATGCATCGGGGCTGCGTGAATCGGTGTCCCCATAGGAGACCGAAGGGAGCTGATCGTAATCATAAGAAGAGGAGCTCCATGAGGGAGATGCAGGCCTGCTGTCGGCGGGAAAGCCCTGCGCATTTGGAATGAAAGATTTGATGAGTGCAGGCCAACAAATGGTGTAAACAACGGGACTGCTGAAGGACGAGCATCCTCTGGACACTTGGATCATATGAGAAAAGGCTTGGGTCGTGCGACACCTTGAGTCGCAGGCACACCGTTGGTTTGAGCTGGCCTGATAACATTGAAAGAGCAGATGGAGCCATTGAAATCTTCATTGTGAGTTCTTCAAACGTTGCAAGAGCAGTGCACTCAGTGAATCAGCTGTCCAGCTTGAGCGCCTCTACAGTCCATACCAATGGCTGCTAACTTTTCCGGATATGTGCAGCTCGCATGCATGCCCTTTGAACGCGTTCACTTACAGCTTGGCAGCAACCGAGACGCTTCAACGACATAAAGTCAAGCTTACCAGCTGTCTGAGGCTACACGGACTGTCTGAACTCAATTCAAAAACAGTCCAGCTTTGTGCACAATACCTGACAGAGGTCAATAGAGGCTTACATTGAGTCTTTCGGCATTGCAAGGGCAGTGCACTTATTGAATCACATCACCAAGCATCATATCAGATGTCAGCGGCAGTATAGCTTACCCTGGCGTTCAAGTTCCAAGCCTTGGGGCTGCCCTCCTCGCTGGTGGTGGCACTCATGTTATAGTCTGAAGCAGAGGACGAACTCTGGCTATCGTCATCTAACATGGAGGCAGCTATCCTCTCTGCCAGAGCCGCCATGTCCTCCTCGAGGAATCTGTCGCCAAATCTACTCCCTTTTGCTACCCAACCTGAGCACCGTGACGCGGACTCCATGGTCTCACGCTCCTGCGCAGCTGGAGAGGCCTCCGTCAATCTCGAGAGACAGTCCTGAAGAGTTGGGGAAACTGAGGGCTTCGGAAAAGTGCAGTCCTCAAAGTCCACGCCCCAAAGGTCATTGCCGACATGTCCCTCCATTCCGTTCGCAGCATATGCAGCACGTCTACCTTGCTTCTGAACGTTCGAGGTGCCAAACAGCGCGGTTCACTGCCCCATGCTTGCTCTTCCACCCATCTTTCACTAGCCGAAAATGCAGGGTAGGGGGCAGTCAGGGGAAGGGTCCCTCTGCTCTCCCACTGAATCTTGGAATCCTAGCTGGCACTGGCAGCAGCAAATGCCTGATCCAAATGGGGCGCCCAGGCCCAAGACCAACTTTCGACGTTTCGTGCACCCTAGGCACACTACACGGGTCCAATTTGTAAGGCGCCGTCTCTGAGTGTACAGCATGTACACTTTACCCTGTTTGACACCACTATCATTGCATGTTTAAACCGTCCCGCACGCACCGGCGTCGGTGTTTGACGGAAAGCAGCACCAGGAGCTGACGGCGTCACTCCACGGGAAATGACGATAATGAGTTGGCACACTCCGAGCCGTCCGATTGGCTTGCAAGCACGCTTGCTGAGTCAGAGCCTTGATCGAGTTGGTCAGGGCGAGGATCGACCGTCAAGACCTTCGACTCTTCAACGTCCCCAACGTACGTCCGAACGCCATGACTTGGTCCCATAGGTACCTAGGTACCTACTAGGTACGTTACACTGTACACAGTGCACACCGTACCTACGTACGAAACTCGAGAGGCCTGACTCACATGCCAGAGTTCCCAGGACTCTTCCGTCAGGACTCAGGTCACTTGGGACTCAGCCTCAGGTTCACTGCACTAGAATCTTTGATTCGGACTGGTGTTGAGTACCTATTTGGACCAGGCCGGTACGGTCGCTTGGGCCTGTACGATGGTGCCGCCTGTGCAGCGTGCAGCGGCGTGCCGGCCGTCTACCGGCTCCCTGCACTTTCACCCGCTGTCCCGCTGACCAGACTGGTCACTGTTGTACTGCCTGGGACCGGTTTTGCCTGGGCGCCAATGGCTGTTCCGGTCGATTTCCAGCCGGTGGGGTCCCTTGGGGCACCGGTGCATTGTTTATCCACAACGCACATCCAACAACGGTTCATCATTCATGGCGTTCATTTTACTGGTACGCAGTGTACCTGAATTGCATGGGGGCCTGCCGAAGGGTCGGTCACGGTCGGACCGTAACCGTACCGTTGATATGAACGTTACCGTTACAGTCAGTCCGAGTCAGCGCCGCCCTGACCACGTGGCACCTCCTGCATGCAATCCGGGCGTGCCCGAACAACCGGGGATTGTTACTCGATGTATTGGTATGAACACAGCGCGAGGCAGAACCGGCCGCTCTTCCGGGATTCCCATTAAACCGAGGGTTAACGCTTAATTTTTAGTTTTTTTTTTTTTTTAATAATGAGCCATGGGTGGCTCATGAGACAAGGTCTGAATGTAGTCTCGAGTCCTAAACGCCTCTCTAACAAAGCTAGCAACCCTCTGTTGGTTCTCCTGACCTATAAAATGACGCAGACTAAATGCGGACTGGCCAACAAACAAATCCATATACCGCTCTGTGCGTAGGAACCTATAAGCTGGGCACTCGAAAATGAAATGGTCCTCGT